TTTCATTTCATTCTGCTCCTCTCTCACTTATTCTCTTCTTATTGTCCTTATTTTCCTGCTAATACTCTCCTCAGCCTCCATTTCCGTTTCTATATTCACATATATTTTGATCTATTTTATATGATTTATACCTGTTTTATATGGAGGCAGCATAAGAATGAATCGCATCATGAGGAAAGTGATAAACACTTAAAAGACGGACCAGGGGTATATTTATATTTACCTCTTTCTCTTCCCCTCTATTGTCATCCTCTCTCATTTCTTCTTCTCGGTTCGTGTTGTGTTTATATTCCATTCGTCATTGTCTTTCCCTTGCCATAGATTCCTAGGCAAATCTGTCTCTCAAAGAGACTGACTGCATACCATATTTTCGTGCCAACATACGTGGAAAGTGATGATGGATTTGTTGAGTTTGAAATAACTATGGTTGGCTTCTTGGCTTGTTTTATTACATCCCTCTTTCTTCACAAGGGTTTGTTTTTTGCTACTGATAATGTTTCTTTTCTGTCCTATACATTTCGTTGAGTGAGTCATTATTGTTGATTTTCGTAATAACCTCATTTTCTAATTTTTTGATTTGATATTATCCCACTTTGCTTTTTATTACTCGTTTTATATGGCTGCTCTTTTCTCCAAAATACAAAGTCATGCTTAATATTGCATTCGTTGGTGGTATTCATCACTTTATTCATCTACCTTGAGGAGTTATAGAAGCCAACTAGTAACTACTCCGTATTTTCATTACCTAAGCACTTTTCTCTCCATTCTTCCAGTAGTATCACACACCTTTAAGACACGTTGCGAAGCTGATTTATAATTCCAATATTTATTCTCATTGTTACCTAACGTTACCTGCAGCATTGGCAAACAAGGAGACAATTAACAAGTAATTCAATGACTAATGAATTGAATATGGCATCACATATGCCATGAGTGCAGAAGTAAAAATGAGTCAAACTAAGACCAAAGAGAATATGTAAAAATGTGTTATGTCCATGAAAATAAAAAAAGGGAGAAGAGACTGTCACCATAAGGTGGACCACCTATAACACCCTCGCCCTCATGTAATAACTGACTGGTTATAGTTCAAATCACATGCGTGCGGATGCTGCAAGCAATACTTGGGCTGCAGCGGTGCAGCCTGAACCTTATTCGCCAACAAATACTCTCGGAAATTCAGAATACGCGCCGTCATCTCAGTCGTCCTCTTATGGCCCGTAGCATTGACATTGCCAGACCAAACGAGTTCACCCAACGCAGCGGCACGTGGCCAAAACTTGGATGAAATCACCACATCGTCGACCTGCTCAGACCACAGCGGTGCGGTAACGCCAATAACATGCTTCTTTTCATCATCAGTCAGGCCGTCGGTGAAGTCGTAGTCGTAGATACGCTGCCAGGTTTTATAAGGGGCGCACCAAGAGCCACCGGGGCCGAGGTAGTTGAAGTTGGGGGTGTCTGCGTCAGGGTTGAACATTACATTGTAGCGGTGGTCATTGCCAACCCAGCCACCGTGGCCGCAGTCGAGATAGAAGAAGTCTGCAGACGAGACAATGACATCGTGGCCCATGCTAGTTAGCTTTTTGATGTTGGTAAGGCCGTTGTTCCAGCTCTGCATGATGACATCTTTGGGGATGTTGTCAGCGTGCATGCCGGCAAGTACCATGTCTTCCCACATGATGAGGCGGCGAGCTTTGTGGTCCTGGAAGATCGGCATGGATTTCTCAACCCATAGCGCGAGGAGGTCGTTGAAGTCGCGCGATTGGTCCTCAGCGAACCATTCGCGGATATTGCTGCTGAAGTTGAAGCAGTTGGGGTGCACTTCGTCGCCGCCAACATGGAAGAAGTTATCAGGGAAATAGCTGGTAAGTTCCTTGTAGACATTTCCAACTACTTCGTAGGTTTTGTTGTAAACCATGTCGAGTTGACCCGGGTTAGGCTCGACAGCTGTATGCAGTTCCCAGACGTCGTTTGACCACCAGGAATCCGCACAGGTGACCATCTTCGGATCGACTTGTTGCCAGCCCGATGCTGAATGGCCTGGCATGTCTGCTTCGGGGATGACGCGAATGGCACGTGCGCGGGCATACTCGACAATTCTTATGATGTCTTGCGCAGTGTAAACTTCCCGAGGTGAATAGGCGTCATTGGTCATCTCTGGGTAGGAGTTCATTTTTATTGGCCAAGACTGGGAGTCGTAGAGATGCCAATGGAGAACATTGAGTTTTGCCAATGCCATGCCGTCGATCTGCTCTTTGATTTTATCGACGCTGATGTAGTTGCGGCCGGTATCAATCATGATTCCCCGATATGGATACAGAGGCTTGTCTTTGATTGAGACTGGCTGTTCAACAATGAGGCCTCCTTTCCCGCAGGCAATAACAAGCTGCTGCAAAGTTGTAAAGGCATGAATAGCTCCCCAGATAGTGTTGGCTAAGATCTCAATAGCACCTGAGCCTTTTTTAATATCCAGAGTGTAAGATTCGTCGACGCCGTGCTGTAATTCCGACTTATGGTCTTTGATTATAACATTGACTTGTCTGAGAGTTGGGTCAGGTGAGCCGTCACGTTTGCTCTTTGGGAATGGAACGAATGTCGGAATTTGTTTTTCGAGAGCAGCCGGAACCCATTTGATAGTTGTAATGGCACTGAACGCACGGTTCCATGCGTCCTTGACAAGAGGGTGGTCGCAACCTTTGCACCAGATAGCTCTAGAAAATGGAATTGGCCCCGATTTGCCCCACGTTATTTCAGCGGGGGCCGGCAAAGGGTTGACCTTGACACGGTATTCAGCATATCCCACCGCTGTGGCCAAGAGGGTAGCTGTGACCACAGCCTGAAACAGCCCGTGGGCGTGCATATTTCAAACGGTTGAAAAGATCAACTGAAGTGAAGGTTGAAGGCTTATTGAGTGCCTTTCTTTGATCGTACATTTTGTTTTTCAATGTTGGAGACGGATGCAGTACCCTTTATATGGTTGCTAGGGTTGGAGATGGAGATCGGCACCCATGGTTCTCAGCTACCAGCCATCCCGCACAAAAGAGAAGTTGGTCCCTTGAAATGCGCGAGAAAGAAAAAAAAAACCAATGAAAAGGCGCCGCAAAAGCTAGGTAGGACAGATCCTTTCCCATGCAACCTCGTCCTTGAATTAAAACGGGGAGAGGCGCGGATGCGTGGGAAGACATGCAGTGTGACATGGCAAGCAGTAAATGTTTACAGTGCATGTAACTCACTGCTTTTTCTCCACAGAACAAAAAATGATTGCATTTGCGTCAAGAAGCCTTCATTGTTGGTGAATGGATGAGTCGTTGATTCTCTGAATCTCCATCAACAGTCCTCCGTAGCCGGAACAAATGCTAGGCAGGTTGCTAGCTGTGGATGCAACGTAAAGTTTGCAGGTTGGGCCCCTGTTGGCCGCCACTGCAACTGTGAAGAACATCATCTAATTAGTGGACATGTAGTTAGGGGAAACGTTGGCTGCCCTATATTAACCTGTGCTGATACTAATGGTGTATTAGCTGAAAGTGGTTTTAAAAGGTTGAACTGTCAGGCCTATCCGCCTTCTTATGTAATCCGCACTGTATATAACTTCCGCGTAGCTAGTGATTGCTACATAATGAATCAAGCAATCTATCCTTCACAGGTTATGAGACCTGTTTTGCGCAAATAACTGCCAATTCAGGGAATTCTTGCCAAATATAGTGTATATTAATCACTGCTTGCTTCATTCAATATAATATTGTCTTATTTTATGTCAATTGATTGATTTGATGCACTCTTATATTATTATTAATTTTTCTGTGTTCAATCTGTTCACTTAGTAAGTGAAAGAAAAATCTGCAACTTGCTAATTTTTCAGTGACTGATCACACAAGAACATGTCAATCTGCTCAATCAAGCTTATAGACAAGAATCTTGCCAAATAAGATTACTTCATTATAAAGAAGATTAATATGACATGATGGAACATATGATGACTTGCTCACAGTCATGATTGAGTCAATTCAGTCAATCTGACCAATCTGAAAATGACCAGGGGGCCCTGAGCTCACTGACCCCCCTCAGGAATGTTCAAGAGTTCCAGGATTGAACCTCTCAAAACACTCAGTCAGCAAGTCAGACTGATTACAGCTTCTATCACATTGAGACTGGTCCATCTATGTCATGTTGAATATATCAATTCAACTCCTTCAGAAGATGAGGTGGAGACATCTGTGGTGATCTCTAACCTGCTGCTGGCAACTGACTCTGAAGAATTGCAACTGAGAAGATTGAATCTTGAACATCAAAAGATTGATCTAGAACTTCAAAAAGAGAGATGCAAAGAATTGCAGCTTCAACTTCAATTGAAGAGGCTCTGTACTTAGAATGACAGAGTCACAATGTCTGCAAATCTGCTGACAGGTCAATCATCAGCATGAGATCTGAACTTGAGATTTCAAATGCAATATAATCTCTACAATCTGGATAGCTGTGTCAGCAAGGTGATCAGCTAATTCAAACAGAATACTAAGTATGCCATCAAGCTGAACACTCTGGTCAGATCTTCAAATTACCTCTTCTGACATGTAAATATGAAGGCCAAGCTAATTGATGCTCAATGCTGAGTTATATTGAAGGACAAGCAAGTCAAAAGCCCTGATGAAGACCTTGAATGAGCTCCTTTTTGAGAGGTCAAAAATCACTGACTTTACATATTCATTTTGAACACATTAGCAGCCAGCATTAGGCCCTGTTTTAATAAGTATGATGAGGGCAGAATTATTAATTCTCTTTGACACACAGTTGAGAAGAAGTTCTCCATCTCAAAAACACAGCTCTGCAGAGAAGCAGTCCTGGCATTTACATCAATAAGTGATGTTCAAGTCACTGACATACACACATTTTTCAATAAGTTCAATGACATTATTATAAAATTGGAAATACTTGATATTTTACTGTCAAATGATGTGGTATTCCACATGTTCTATTCTGCACTTTCTAATATATGGTGAAACTACATGCAAAAGAAAATTGAGAAGGTACAAGAGTTCAAATCAAAGTCTGTCATGTTGGACATTTATTCAATCATAGAGGAAATACACTCTCAATTGAATCCTCTCAAAGAGGCCAAGAAGGCCATCCAGGTGGCTAATTCTTTGGCCAACATGGCTCAGGCTGAAAATGCAGCTGTGGGTTCCAATAATAGCAGCAACATCCAAAATAATATGGCCTGTGAGGGCTGACCCAGAGAACACAGAAACTATCAAATGAATGAACATTCAAATTCTGACCTTCTAATCTGCCTGGAATGCAAGCATCATCATGGTGAACTCTGCTGAGCAGTCAATTCAGATAGCATCTCTGAAGAATGGAGAACCATCAACACAGTGAGAATAGAGAAATATAATAATAAGAAGAGTAGTGAAGGCAAAAAGACCTCATCAACTGCAAATGACAGCTCTGAGACATTCCAAATGACAAATCTAGTGTAGATCATTGAGATGCCTGCATACTCTACTGAACCAATCATCAACTCACTCATCATATGGAATAGCAGGGCTGGATGTCATATTGCAGGTGATCAATCATGATTTTCCTGAATAACAGAGGTTAGCAGCCCTATGATTCAAGTGGCCAATAAGGCTACTTTGAAGGTTCAAGGGATTGACATCACCTCCATCCCAGTCAGGGAAAGATTAATTGAATTTGACCACATCTATTTGATGCCAGGCTTATTCACCAACCTCATATCTGCTGATCTATTGAAGCACCAGGGCTATATTTGCTGTGATCTGCAGGTGGACACTGGAAATTACTTTGAGATAATAGCATCTACAGGAAATGACATCTTCTATGTGAATTTGAATCCCAATAATATATATGTTCTATCTGACATCTTCTCTATGTTCAGAGATATTATGAATGATCTGAACCTTGGATCACTGGCATACTTGGCAGTCTCAAAGCCCAGAGTGATATCAACAGATTATGATCTGAATGCTGCATCACTGGGTCTTTTCAACTGTGATGATGTGGAGCAGCTAATTAACCTGAAGGATCTGAATACTGATATCTTCATTTTATCCTCATCAATCTGACTACCCGCCATTATGCTGAAGCAGCTATTAATTGATGAGTGGCACCAGTGATTAAGCTATATTGATAAGGAGAATCTAATTAAAATGTCATGGAAGCTCTGTTTTGAAATTGTCATCATCAGCTCAAAGAAGCTCTCATTCTGCACCACATGCATTAAAGTCAAGCATAAATGTGCAAGTTATAAAAACACCCTGCTACATCATGCCATTTGCAAAGGTCTTAAGATCTGGATGGACCTATTTGAGGGTGGAGAAACACTTGGTAATGAAGAAGATACATCATCTTATGCAGATAAGAAGCTCATAATGATGATCACTGACAATGCCACATGAATGTGATGGACCTTTCTATTGAAGTGCCACAATGAGGCTCTAAAATATATACAGACCTTCAATCAATTTATGAAGAATCTGCTCAATCACAGTGTTGTGATTATTCACTCTGATCATGATGAGTTGAATTCAAACACTGCAGCTGTCTATATGATAAGTGAGAGTATTAAATGAGAATCAACCCCATCTCACACTCTGCAGCAAGATAATGTGTCCAAACATTCTATTGACCTGATTATCAAAAAAACCTGAATATTATTAATAGATTTCTTCTCCCTTCCCCACATGTAGGGTGAGGTGGTAATTGCAGTGACTGAAATGCTTAATCTTATGTCAATATCAGTCAAGCTCTATAATGATGTAGAGGATTCAGATTCAAAGCTGGTTATCTCATATGAAGCTTGGCTTGAGGCCTTGCCCTCTGCACACAGGATTTACCAATGGGGGTGCAAGGCTTATTTAAAAATAGTGCTTAAGCTGAATATGAAGATGGCCTCATGATCACAAAAGCTTATATTTACAGGCTATGATGGCTTTACTAATTATAGATTAATCAATTCTTCTAATGATCATCTTTACATATTGAAAGATGTAATATTTTAAGAAGATCTTCATTTGACAGATTCTCTGACTTCATCTGAGCAAGATGTCAAGAATCTGTCTTTCACTGCCTGTGTAACTGCAGTTGCAATCTTCTCCACTCATCATGATTTATCAACAGATAATTTCATGATGAATGAGAAGTTTCTATCTGTCCCTTCAGTATTTCTACACTCTACAAATAATTGATGAATAGACTATGAGATTACTGTGTGAATTTCAATATTTTTGATGCAGAACACTACTGCTCTTTCAGAATCTGCTTTTGAGATGAAGAATTCTTCAATGCTCACTGAGAATATTATTTCAGTGAGAGAGGCCTCAGTGAGAGATTTCATTGACAATTTGACTGACATCTCTGCAGATTCTGAGATCATCAGCTTGTCAGTTTCAAAGAACCTCATCTGAGCTTGAGCATCTGCAGATTGAAAATATTACTTCCATGCCTGTGTTAAGGAGGTTAACTGCCTCAAGCAGACTGATGTATAGTGGCTAGTTGAAAGAACCTCAGATATGATGATTCTACATGACCAATGAGTGTTCAACAAAAAGATTAATAATGCAGGTAGAATTGAATGATATAAGGCCCACTGAGTAGTCTGTGGCAATTATCAAGAAAAGAGTATCAACTATTCAAAGATATTTGCATCAGTTGTATCAGTCTTCATCTTCTGAGCACTTATGACAATCTCAGTATTTTGAGAATGGCACATTCTGCAGATTGACATGGTTACAGCATTCTTAAATGCCTGGCTTTCTGTCAATGAATGTATATATATACATCAACCTGCCAGGTTCTATGAGGGATGTGATGATCTGGTATATGAATTGATGCAGAGACTATATGGCCTGAAGTGAGCAGCACTATTATGATATGAGGAGCTGTGAAAAATACTATTGAAAACAGGCTTCTATGTCAGTTTTCATGATGCTGGTTTTTTCATAAATGACATCTGCATGGTCTATATAATCATTTATGTGGATGATGTTTGCCTATACAGCTCAAATATATCAAATATTGAATGAACAAAAGCCCAGATCACTGCTAATTATGAGATCAAGAATGTGAGTGAATCAAACTGATATTTGGAAATGAAGATTAATCAGAATGTCAAATCTTTATCACTGTCTCAGCCACTGTTCATAAAGAACCTGCTTGAGGAATTCTCAATGAATGACTACTACTCAACATCCTCCCCTATGGAGGAGAATGTTGATTTCATGAGTGATAATGAAGAACTGATTGCTTATACAGTGGAATTTACATTACATTTCTATCAATCAGAGGTTAACTCTCTGCAATATCTCACTGCCAACACACACTCTGATATAAGCTTTGCCACTGACTTCATAAAGAGATTCAGCTCTCACTTTACCTCAAAGAATTGAGCAGCATTCAAGTGAATTCTTAGATATCTACAAGGCACACCTGACATAGGTGTGTCCTACTGAAAAGATGTGGATATAGAATCTGTGATGTTCACTAATGCTGATTGAGCAGGCTGTAATTCAGATTTCTGCTTCATCACTGAATATGTCATTTATATGACAGAGAGTCCTGTTGCTTGGTGAAGCAGCAAGCAGATGAGTGTTTCAAAATCATCTACTGAGACTGAATATATTGCATTCTCAGAGATCATCTATAAGCTTGTCTGCCTTCAGGAATTGCTGAAGGATGCTGGCTTCATGCCATCCAGGCTCAATAATTTTGATGATAATGACAACCCAATCAAATCACCAGTCAATAAGCTGGCATATACAATTCAGGTGAATAATAAATCAGTGATTGAACTGATCAAAAGTGAGACTATTCCACACTATTCTAAGCATATAGAGATTCACTTTCATACTCTTCAGAATCTTATCCACAAGAATGAGATCTTGATTGATTACATTCTGTCCACTGAGAACACAGCAGACAGGCTGATCAAGCCACTTGGAGTGACTAGATACACTCTATGACAGCAGATATTAGAAGATGCAGTAAGCAGGTGGAAATGATATATGGAGAAAATGACTGATTTTTCAACAATATGGGTTTTCCAGTCAAATTATGTACTAATACCTAGCTACAGGCTATTTTTTGTATGTAATCTCAAGTACAGTTACATTGGTGAGTGGGGGTGTCAGGCCTATCCGCCTTCTTATGTAATCCACACTGTATATAACTTCCGCGTAGCTAGTGATTGCTACATAATGAATCAAGCAATCTATCCTTCACATGAACATGGTTGAAAATCTTGACTGAAAAAATCTTCGACATGATCTAAACTTCCAGATCATGACATTTCTCTGTCATTAGAACCAATTATATTCATCATACATCCCACATATATCTTTAAATGATTTTGATGATAGTTAGTGGTTTTGTTATTATATTTCATAGTTAGATTAGACTTATAACTTAATTTTAATTTTTAATTTTAATCTTAATTTAATCTCACTTTAGTTTATTTTAACTCTGGTAATAAATGTTGAATAATAAGAAAAATCATGTTTCATCTGAAATAATATAGCAACATCACAATATCAAAAAATACTGAGATAATCTGTTTACATATAATAGCAAGATTATCAATGATTAATTTTGAATAAAAACTATTAACTTTGCAATATTATCTATACACTTTTTTATACTTATTATTTTCCATTTATGCTTATTTAATCTATTAGTCATCTCATATGATCCAAGACTTGAATGTTTAAAATGATAAGATTAATTGAATAAAAATATAGTAATAATATATAGAATATATTTAAAATATATACAATCAGTTATATTATTCATCATATATATTAAATTTCTATAAAAATTCCAAATATTTTTTTAAAAATTTAAATATATTAATAAATAATTAGGTTTTAAATATACACAACTTCTTAATTTAAAAAACAAAAAGTAATAGCTAGCTCAGTAAATTAATTAAATTTTATTGAATGTTATAATGAAATTCTTCAGTTACGGAGAATAAATATATAATTGAAAACTGTATATATAAAATTAATAATTTCTCTTATAACTTCACAATTATTAATTTAAATCTTTAAAAATTGTATGGTAGTTTTATTTATCTACGTATATGCCGTGTATCATTTAATTTCAATTTAAACTGTTCCTGATCATTGTTCTGTCGGTGGTCAGTCGGTTTAGGGTGCTTATCAGGCGGGACTCTGGTAGTGAGCTCCTTAGCACAGCTTGGGAGCGCAAGCCA